CGAGGCAATAGATACTTATTCTTGATTGTCAGCTTGTTCAACTGTCTGTAGCAATGCACAGTCTGAGTGATCCATCTTTCTTCTTTACGAATAACACTGGTGCTCCCCAAGGTGATACACTGGGTCTGATGAAGCCTTTGTCCAATAAACCTCCTGTTAGCTTGAATTTTTAATCTTTTAGCTCTGCCTGGTGCCATTTCGTGTAAGGTGCAATTGATACTTAGTGCTGCTCCAGGATAGACATCTATGGTAAACTCTACTTCCCTCCTTGGTGGTAACCCTGGTAATCTTCTGGAAATACATCTGGATAATCACACACTGTTGGTATGTCTTGCACTTTGGGACTTGTTCTTTCTCTGCTTGAATGCACTACCAAAGTATTGCTTCACAAACCCTTTCTGAATTAATCTCTTTGCGTGCCATGGCTTGCTATCACATTACCCAGAAATTCTGAGTTTTGTTTTTAAAGCTAATTTTTTATTTTTAGAAAACCCAATTCACCCCCCCTCTTGGGTTGTGCCATACATATTCGGGACCCACAATTCTATGTTCTAAGTTGTGTCTGGATAGCCAATCCATACCCAGAATCACATCAAATTCTCTAAATGGCAACTCCATAAGATCTCCTGGAAACTCTTTTTCATGTATAACAATTGGACATCCTTCAACCACTGTATGAGTTTGTACTACATCTCCTAATGGATTTGTAACTAACATACCCGGACTCACATGTGCAACTTCTAACCCTTTAACCCAAGGTTTAGGTACACTAATGTATGAATGAGATAAGCCAGGATCAATTAAAGCAGAAACTGTATGATCACATAAGGAAAACTCACCAACTATTACATCTGGAGCTCCCTCATCTTCCCTGGTTCGCATCGCATACTGGCTGGACCTCTTGTATCAGGTTTGTCCACAGTCTCTGACTGCTGTCTCTGCCCTCCTGAGCTCTCACCTCTACCTCTGCCTGTTATGAATTGTATAGGAACTTTTGCCCTCTTCGGACAATCCTTCTTCTGATGGTCTGATGCTCCGTATGTCCAACATTTACCAGTCACCAACCAACAATCTCCACCATGCCGTTTGCCACAATGCTCACAAGGTGGAAAAGTATATCCGGCTGACTCTGCACCTCTACTGGTGCCTCTACCAGTTCCTCTGCCTGAACCTCGACTACCACCAGCAGAACTAGCCACAACTGATACCGGCAGAACTAGCCACAACTGATACCGCTGGCATGTTAGCACCCCTAGCTACGCCTTGGCTAAAGGAAGGTCTAGCACTAGCTGAACTACTAGCACCTCTGAATCTCTTGCTTTCTGACTGATAACTACTGGGTGCACTCACTCTGAGTCTGTCTCTCCTCTGCTGAGACCGCTGGCGTCTGGTACGCTGACTGCCTGAAATGCGCTCTAATCTTCCGTGAGCTGCCTCTACCAAAGCTGAGAACTCTCTGAATCTGGAAGCTACCACTTTCCCATCCTGAACCATCTGTTCAATCATTCAAGCCTTCTTGAAACTTTTTACATCTCTCGGCTTCTGTAGCCACTATCCCCTTACCATACCTGCTGAGCCTGGTAAACTCTCGCTCATATTCGGCAACTGACATTCTGTTATGCCTCAGGTATAAGAATTCTTTCCTTCTTGCATCTAGATAAGCCTCTGTGATGAACTTCTTCTTGAATTCATCCAAGAAAAATTGCCATGTATGCTGCTCTGCTGATACCCACTGCTGAACAGTAGTCCACCAGGTATATGCCTCATCTATGAGCAATGATGTGGCACAAACCAACTTGTCCTCTGGTGTATACATTGTAATTGTTCCAGAACTCTCGATGTCCCATCTAACCAATACTCGGCTCTTTCTGGATTATCATCCTGGTTAGCACTGAATTCTTTCGCCCCATATTTCCGAAGCTTCCGAAGAAGCTTCTTCTAGTGGGGGCTTCTTTCTCTTTCTACTACTATTGCGTGTCTTGAGGGCATCACCCCCTTGCTTAATCTGTCGAAAAGTATCTGCAAGTTGCCTTTAAACAACACCTCTGACCTTGGTGCGCTTGGAGCCTCACCCTCCACTGGCTCTGGAGGCGTGTGTACTCGCTCTCACCTTGTCTTGTGACATCCTCCTAAAGAACAACATACATGCTGAGTTCATCAGGGTTAGGACATGCACTGGTACAATATACTGACTTATGCATGTTACAGCCCGGGGAACTAAACCTAGGGCTCTGATTACCAAAATTTTGTTAATAGTCCAGCGCTTGCATGGGTTAGATATTTGTCCGCTTGGGCCACACAAGCCCGCACGGTTTGTTCTGAGCCAGGAAACCTCCACTCTGCAAGCCCAAAACGCGTCAATACCATGTTCATTGAGTGCTTGCCACCCTTTATGTAATACGACTTCCGACCTTCAGTTTCATACAGTTTTTCTTATCACTTTGGTTTCACTATAACCTTATGGAGCTATACAGTTATATTGACTAAAAATTGCTTACATGTTTATTTATACATATGTATGTGCTTACATGTTTCTTTATTCATTGAGATATCCATTGAGTTTTAATAAAAGTTGTAGAATTCATACAGCATAAGGAACATCAGGTAAGATCATAAAAGTATAATGTTTTGTGTGCTTACAAGTTTATTTATTTAGTTCTTATGGAGCCATACAGTTATGAGATTTTATTATTTATAACTTATATGATGTTGACTAAAAAGTACATAAGTCATACAGCATACTGAACAACAAGTAAGACAATGAAAATACACTGTTATGTATTCTTACATGTTTATTGATCTCATCCATACAACACAATGAACAGCAGGTAAGATCATGCTAGTATCACATGATATGTGTGATTAAATGGTTATGTAAAGGAGTTATGAGATAATTAGAACTAAATTATTTATGTTATGAATTAGAAGTTTATTTTTTGCTATAAATGTACATTTATGTTGAAATTTAATGATTATATGATTATCAATTATTTTATGAAATTTGTATTTTAAGTAAGTTGTCATCGCACTTTGTGAAGTATGTGAATTATGAGCACCACTGAATTTTATACTCAGCGCGTCGATTTTTATCACTCGTAGGTTAAAGATCGTGGTTGCTACTTGAAGACTTAAAGAGTGCTATCAAAGCAGAAGTGACTAATTTGGTAGTAGTAGATTTAGAGTTATATAATTAAGAATTATGGCATGTATAATTATTATATTGTTTAGAGCTTATGTGATTGGAAATATAAGTGAAGCATGTAATTATTTTGGCATAAGTATTTGGAGATAAGAATAATACTTATGAAATGATTGAATATGAAATATTTTAAAATATGGTATGATTAGTTCTTGAAGACTTGATATATATAATGAATGCAATTATTTGATGGATATTAAATGCTATTGAGGATTTATACAGTTATGAAAATATAATATTATAAAGTGTTATTGTGGTTATGATAGATTTATTTGAGAATGTTGGAATTTGGAAGTTTAATTGGGAGTGTTTTGTATTCTATTTAGGCATACCAGTTATTTGGAGATGTTGGAAGTTTGGAGTTTAATTGGGAGTGTTTTGTATTCATATTTAGCATACAGGATGATATAAGCATGACAGGACATAGATTCAACCAGATTGTAGCGTCTCGGCTCGGTCCATTCGGGTTAATGGATGGACCGGGAAGGGATGTTACAGCAGCCACCAGCTTATTCAACAACTTAGACAGAGTAAAATCCATCTTATTCATGTTATAGTTCAAACGGAATTGTTGAAAATCGGCTGGCAAAGTGTTCAAGACCATCTCAATTTGAGTAGTCTTGTCAACCTCAGCCCCAAGAACCTCCTTGTCATTTAGAAGACTCATCATCCTCAAGACATGAGTTCTAATAGGAGTTCCTTCCTCCATTTTAGAAGTAAGAATCTCCCTTAGTGCATTCTGCTTAATTGCACTAGTCTGGTCTCCAAATATCTCCTTGAGATTCTCTAAGATGTCATAAGTTATGTCCATCTTCTGATACTGATGTTGCAAAACATTTGACACAGATGTCAAAATGTAACATCGCGCCATCTCATCAGCCTTAACCCATTTCTGGTAACCCTGGTGTCCTCAATAGAGGCACCATCACCGGGTTTTTCAGGAAACACCTCACTAAGCACAAACTTTTACTCCTCAGCAGTAAACACAATGTCCAAATTTCTTTTCCAGTCCATATAGTTTGGAACCCAAGCTTGTTATGGGTTAGGATGTTGGTTAAGGGATTGAATGATGTCGTTTCTCTTATAAGATCATGCAATAAAATAAAACAGCATATCAATAATAATTAACAGAATTTAAATCATAATTGCAAAAAAGACAATAATGATACCAAAATTCATTTATGCATTTCTAACAACATTCATGAGTAGCAATCTCGATAGGAGAATTAAACTAATCACATGTCATGCATAAAAATTAAACATACAAGTGTATATATATATATATATATAATATTTGTTTTTAAAAAAATTCCATTGGACTCTAATTAACAAAAATAGTAAATTTCCATAAGAATTTATCATAGAAAATTTCCTTTTTATAAAAAACTGAAAAAATTCACCTAAAATAGAAAAATTGACCAATAACCATCTAAAGAACCTGGGGTGGCCAAAAACGACGAACATCACTGCATAGAAGTGTGTTTTACTAATAAGGCCATTTTCGATGTTTCCACCAAATTTCAATCAATCGGAGAAAGTAAGCATTATGCTTGAAAAACCCATTGATTCTAAAATTTGGGTCTAGAAAAAAACCAAAGCCTCAAACTTTTTTTATTTATTAAAAAAATAAATTTTATTTTTCTGTAATTAAAAAAAATACAGCAAGTTTCCAGAATTTAAAAAATTCAAATAAATTTTCTTAGGTTCTGTCTGTGAAACTCAGAAACATTCTGGGTCTAAATAAAACATTTTTAGGATCTATTTGCATAACTAGAAAGTTTAAGGCCAGTATACAAATTTTATAATATTTAAAGGATTGTTCTGAAAGTTTCCAGAACGTCTTCTTCTTCTAGATAAGAAAACTTAGCGCCGCCTCCATTTTTGCCCACGTCAAGCTTTGTCGTCGCCAGACCAAGACTTCAGTGGTTGCGCAACGCTTGCGCTAGCCGTCCATTCCGACACTGGCAAGCTTCGTCATTGAGCAAAACACGCGAAGCAACTTCACCCAAAAACCGTTCGATTTCCAGAGGACATAGACCCTACAATGACGAACCAGGCGCTGCCGGAGGTGAGCCACCGTCGGTCGGAAACCTTCACATGGCTTGCCATCAACGTTGCTACCGTTGGCACTGTTCTAGGTAATCTGGCAATCTGGGCATCTACCGTCTGTTCTTCGTGTTCTTGTGAAGAACGCGATTGCAGAAACAATCTCCAATTTTTTTTAATTTAATAAAAAATCCAAATCGTTTTTCATGACACATATTTCTGCAAAACTGATTTTTCTTAAAAAACACAGCAGATTGATTTTCAACAAACTAATTTCATAAATCCATATCTAAATAATTAATGAAAAAATTATCATGTATATAATCACGTGATCAAACAGAAACACAACACAATTATATACAAAATACAATCATCACGTACCATGCGAAAAATAAAATAATTTATCAAAAATATGATAAAATATAAACAAGTGAACAGGCCACCTTATACGACTTTCGAAAGGTTCTGATATCAATTGATGAGAGCCGAAAATTAAGCAGCAAAAACAACCAGGATGGAAACAAGTACCAAAGCAAATCAACCACACAAATTATACAAGAACTGATTTGTTGTGACACAGAATTGCTCACCGAAGTTCTTTCTAGAATTCTTCAAGTTACAGTTTTTTGCTATGTGACCTTAATTTATTCTATAAATTCTATATTTCTGAGTGGGTAGAAAAAAAATAATAAGTCTGTTTCTTGAGAGTATATTGCATTTTTTATGAATATTCTATTATCTCTAAAAATAACCCGTATTCAAGAAATGAAAATCTCTCTTATCCACGTGGGAAGCAAACGATAAGATTAATCATTCTGTTACCCACGCGGTTGATATTTTAAATAAAATAAATTAACTCTTTTTTAATTAAAAAATTAATAAATAAAATTTTAATTATAAAATTAATCTATTAATTATTTAAAATAAATGACCTACATACAGTCCAAATAATTTAGGCACAATAGGGACCGCAGAAATAAGTTAATAAGGCTACAAACTATAATAAGAATCCATACAAGACAAGTACATTCTTATTATAATTAATCATAAATTATTCCACCAAAAATTAACAATTGAACTTTTATTAATTTAACTTTCCATAACATAATAATTTATATTCCCCATGTAAAGATTACAAATGTTTGTCAAATAAAATAAATCACTAACAATTTATTTAAATAACAATTATAATTTTTAAGATTGTCACTTAACTTATTTCATATGTAGGATTAACAATCTACTTGTATGGTATACACAGTGAAACCTTATAAGTTTACTTAAAGTGCATCATCATTCTCTAAACCGAGACATGGATTCTACTGTTAATTGATATTTCACCAAATACAAGTTGCTTTTGTCCAATTCACCCAAAATTATTATCCCAATAAATAAATTCACTCTTTAATGAATTAAAACATAAAGCAATATATATTCGCTCATATTAATTAAATCAAGATTAAGAACATAAATCTTATTTTAATGTCCTAGTGAATATGTTTTAATAGTCAATATAAACAACTATTCTCTACTTGGTCCAATCAAATACATACAAAATGTACTAACATCGTTATTATAAAATATGCTGAAAAATTTATTTATTTAATTCAAAATTCCAATTAAAATAATAGAAATAATTGTTTAAAAAAATAACGAAAAAAAAACATACTATTACATTTGCATGGTGAATAGTATATCTCTATCACAACCACGTGCTCACCACCTCGCCTTGAACTCATACATGCGAAAATGATTGCATGAGAAAGCACCACAGCAAAGTCTAGATCATCGCTCAACGAATCATGCTAGTTTAATGAAAGGTAACAATGAAGTTTGGACCTGAGATCGCTGGTGGTGTTGGTTGTGGAAGATAATACCTAAATTGTCCTTTTTATCTTTTACTTAGCTTTTCTTTTTTTCTAGAAAAAAATTGCTGATCTGGAAATTAAAATGGGTTCCACTTTGACTTACTTATCCTACTCAATAGGTTTGTAATTCACACGCTTATATTAGATTGGAGAAGTGCTTAATCGGTAAAAATTAACTTGAGGTGTGGAGAAGTGCTTAATTGGTAAAAATTAATTTGAGGTGCACAAATGGTCTCCGCAAAGTTGAGGGTGCCGCAGGGTTATTTTTAAAAGTTCAGGGAGCAATCTATGTTTCGGCTTACAAAAATTAAGGGGTCAAATTGATTAAAAATATGTCAAGATGGTTAGGGTTTGAGACATGAGGATGTAAAAGACAAATTTTTTGAGATGGGGACAACTGCCCCCCTCCCCCCTTCCAATGCATGTACATTCACCCTCGGATGAGTGAAATTTTAATTTTGAATTTGGTTCATGAATTATATTTTGGTTCACCATTTGAGTTTGTTTTATTGATTTTTGAATTTTGTTTTGAACTTCTGATAGAGGAGTTGTTATAGTTTTTAATTTTTGCATTGGGAATGCCTTTAAACTTACTTTTTAAAAATTGATTTAAGTTTGCTAGAAAACACAAATTTAAAAGGAGTTTAAGAGTATTTTTGTAATTTTATAAGTCACTAAACAAAAGAGAAGTCATTTAACACAAATTAACACCAATTTAGTTTTTTACAAGTCATTTAACTTTTTTATGGAAGAGCAATAATATTTAACTATAGAAAACATAAAGACAAAGTAGTGTATTTAAAAAAAAAAAAAAAGAAATAGAGTAGTTAATTTTAGCATAATATGGAGACATCTATAATTTTTTCAATCAAGTTTTGAAGGGCATGACGATCAATTGTACCATCTGTTCTTTTATTAAAATATTAAATTTTAATCTTTTGTGAAACATTCAAACAAGTGAGTATCACTGTAGAAATAAAAATGGTTGTCTTTTCAATTATTAGTCTTAGTGATAACCATTAAGATATCAGAGACAACTTTTAGAGAATTTTTTTTTCTTTTTTTTTTTTTAAGAAATGAGAGAAATGTTAATTGTGTTTAGGGATTCATTGCTTAGAGATTAAACACCTCGTTATGAGAATTAAGGTTGTATATATAAGGTCTCTTTTGAACTCTAAGTCAATATTTAAATAGGAAAACATATCAATTTCTATTTAGGGTTTGTGCTGAGTATCCATTTAGTCCATGTTATTACAAATGAAAGAGCACATGTAAATTGGGTAAGAGGTTAAATTCATAAAGATACAACAGTGTGAAATTGACGTACTTACGCTTGAGTCAACCAATGCTAAAAAGTTATAGTACTTACCATATTAATCTTGGTGATAACCTCTAAAGATTTAAGAGTCTTCCATCCTTCTATGCCTTTTATGGATGTAATATTTATTTTGTGTGGGATTTTTAACACTAGCAATTATTAGAAAATTATATATGTAAATTTCATATTGGTCCCTGGTAAACATTTTTATTGTATCACATGTCCTTGTTATTATAACCCATTTATGTTCAGTTTATCTATTAAATCCAATTTGGTAGGAAATAAATTTACAAAACCAAAATTTCCAATTTATTGTACACGATCATAGAAAATAGGTCTGATCCAATTTAGTTAATTTTGAGTGAAAAAAAGAAGACACAAAGAGGCAGCAAAAAGAAGGGGGAAAAACCTTTTTTTATTCAAATTTGAAATCCTAAAAAGTTTCCTCCATTATTCTATAAATTATCTTATCCCACTCCATTTGTGTTTTCACAACCCTTCATCAAAAGGTAAAACCTCTCTCTCTTTATGAGGTAATTTTACTCTTTCTCTTAAAACTTCTCTTCAATTTGTAATTTATTTCTTTTTAATAATAAAACAATAATAAAACAAAAACAAACTAAAACTTTTCCTTCATCTCTC